ACAGACACAGAAAACACACTCGATCCCCAACACACTGGAGACTTGGATTAGAAGCAGTTTTGTATAGATACAAATGTCGAACACGCAGGATTTTGTTGCATTAACCTCCATCCTGAAAAACAGGACGGCTGAGTGATTCGCTATTTGTTTTACTAACAACACAGCGCCTCCATTATCCATCACAGAAATGCAACCGCAAATATGAAATGTAATAGCACACCGATACCTGCTGTGGCCTGAATATTTAGAGCACAACACACAGACTCTCTGCGATGTGACAGTTTGTATCCCACTGCAAACACATATTTTTTTCAGGGACATTTGTTCCACTGGCTGCGGGGCGGGTTATTGTCTGAGAGACGTTTCTGTACAAAAGGAGGTTAGAGGTTTGTTCCCTTCACTTGTCAGTGTCCAAGAGAATAAATCTTGGTTGTCTTTATAAAATGATCAGAGGCGACCGGAGGATGTTTGATTCTTTTCTCTCCTTTCTTGTCTTTGACTCTATATGTTGCCATGCCTTATGTGGCGTAACCCTTGACGACTTAGAGCCTCAGCGATGTGGGATTTTAAGGACAGATGCTCGTTCCACAGAGGGAAATTTTCCAGATTACATTTGTGGATATTTTCAAGCTAACCCTTCTACATGCACTGTCAACATATTTAGCAAAGTGAAAATCCTGCAAAGCGATTACAGAGCTGCTTTCTGGCAAAAAAAAAATATATACTTTTAAGAGTATCTGATATTATTTTTTGTCAACAAGCAGACTACTATTATGATGCTCTCCAGATAATATTAAGAGTTGTAAAAACGTTAGATTCAGATGCCCTCTGCTGGACAAACTATGCACTACAGCTTCACAATCAATCGCAAATTTAACGCTTTGCCAGTAAGAGACCACAAAAGCGGTAAATTACCACAATATATCAGGAAACTATTCATGTATACTATCAGGGTTTTCTCACTCCGCATGGACATAGAGGTATCACCCGTTAGAGACCTGAGTGTTAGCCGGCTGTCAGCTAACCTCAGATCAATCTGTGATGATTTAACAGTTTTAAGAAATGCTTATTGGATGTACATGATTAAGGAGAAACACATTGAAAACACAGGTTATGCTTAAACAGTAAGATCAGTTGATGGGCAGTAAAACCTGAGAGTACTCATGCTCACTATTCATAAAAAAAATCAAACACTGATCACACGTCCTATTGATAAGGCAACAAAAGAACACTGCCATTACAGATTCTTAATATCATAAAAGCTCGCTGCTAGAGTTGCTGGTGAAAGGTTGGACCAAGCTTGGTTAAAGATAAAGAACATGAAAAATCCTCAAAAAAACTAACAATGATTATTTTTAATTTTATGTACATATGCAAAAAAACAACAAATTTTGTGATTTAATTTCCTTTTTTATCATAGCCTACAGGTACAAACACCTGAACACAGAATCTCTCTGAACAATCATCCACATGCTGGAGGAGCATCTATTATTGTTATTTGTGGGGACCACCACAGTTCAACTGTGTTTACATCAGTAAATAGGAAAGCCTCCATTTCATCTCTTAATATATCTGACTCCTAAAGTACAGTGTGTAGAAATGGGACTATAAAGTGATATTTAGCAGTCAGAACTCGATCTAAATGCTCTCTTTTTCATCCATCTCATCAGAGAAGCGGCGGTGGTCTTCAAGGACACAGCTCTCCTGTTATGCATTATAAGTATGACCTTCCATTTGTCCAGCTTTTATCATCCGAATCGTCTATCAATATAAATTCTTATGCCCACACTATTAACCACTCTCTTTTTCCAATCCTCCATTTTGCTGCTTACTTAATAGACCCATACCAGGGCCATACCAGTTTTTGTATAGCGTGCTACTGAGGAGACATAATGGAGCAAGATGGCGGCCTACATGGAAAGGGGCCCGCTCCTATGTAGGCATCAAACCATTGATTTAATGCATTATCTTTACATAAAAAGATGTTTTCTTATTCTCGGTACCAGAAAACACACACACACTTATTTCGTAGTAGGTGAATAATCCCCGCTGACTGAAATATCGGTCAGCTCCTGCTACATATAACTGGGTCTTTCACTGATGACACTTCATATTTCAACAGTGTCCTAAATTCTGGAGTATAAGTCCTGAGAGATAACCATCATCATGAGCTTTTGCAGCCAAAGAACGATTTCCCAGATAGAAATCTCCACTCCACTCACCCCGCTGTGTTCATCAGCATTTCTCATACGGAACAAGTTGCCAGGGAAACACCGTTTACGCACGATGAACTGACCTCAGACTCAAGATCAGACTCTGCATAAAAAGCATATTTCTGCAGCTTGTTCTGCCTCAGTATTGCCGAATGTAAATGTTTCACTGATTTTTCTTTTTATCGCCTAAACTTGGTCAGAAAATGCAGATTGTCCAGGGAAGCAGACTCAGAGATGGATGATACTCAAAACTTTGGAGAGCAGACTTCACAAAAGACTGAATTTTAAAGAGACTGATTCATCAGTGGCACGTGGTAAAACTCATTTTACTAAATAACTGCAAGAAAAATTTTTTCTGCCCAAACTCCTCATGAATACTAAAACTAATGACCGGGAATGAGTGTTTTTTCGGAGGCAACTTACTCACCATGTTGCCCACGCGGCCTTTTCACCTGATGGGTCAGAGCACAACTCTGCCAGAGGGTCACTGTCTTGCTGAAGGACAAATCAGCATGGATGAAAACACTGCTCAGAATATGGAAGAATCTCTGTTTATTTTCCTGCACAATAAAGACCAGAGGTTGTTTGTTTTCTAACTATGTTTTACACGTTTTCCCTCAGAGACTACTCACATTTTGTTACTGTTAATTAAAGGCTGCTGTACGGAGGCAGGCTTCTCATTAACGGTGGCTCTGTTTTTAAAGCAGGAACGCCAAAACTGTGCAATAACAATTCATTCATTCATTTAATACGACGGCCTGCGAAAGACTGCACAAAATTGACACCATTTGAGCAGATTTGAGGACAAAATTTAGTCGAGCAGAGTGTCAACTTTAGAATTTAAAAAAAAAGGTCATAATGTAGCGTGAATTGAGAAGTTGCTCCAACAAAAGAAGGACAAACAAAGTTATTTTTTCTTCTCTGCCTGTTATCCCTGCAACATGGTCTGGTTTTGACAAAATATTCCCCTCAGTGGGCTCCACAAGGAATAGTAAATCAGCCATCAAAAAGAACAAGACTTGCTTCTTTGGAGAGTACAACACATGCGTGTACAGGACAAAAATTGGGGAAAAAGACAAGTCAAACTGCTTTGTCCACAGGGGCCACTAAATCAGCACAAAATAAAAGTTCCTCACCACAACTTCTCAGACGTTTGCAGTCCTAATGAAATATTTTTTACAACACCTGCGACTATTTGTTGGGAGTTGCAGGGATTTCCTGCAGAAACAGAGTCCTGATCTGATGCATTTATCTGCCCGGATAGTTGAGCTGATTCTTTTTTGTTTTTGTTTCTGTATTCCTGTTTTTTTAAAATCCAAGTTGTCATTCCTGCATTTATTACCACACCTTCCTGATATCTCTAAACAGATGAAGAAATGCCACTTTCAGCTCAGCCTGTCCAAAACTGAGCTTCCTGTCATTCCAGACGGTTCTTCCATACAACTCCAGATCAATATCCAACTTGATTACGCAAAACTTACGGCTTACAAAGTCTTCTCGGAACCCGGGTATCATTATTAAAGGCCCTCTAACTTTCAAGGTTCATGTGGTATTGATCGCCCACTTGCTCTATAGGACATCAAAAATAACAGACTCCTTACTGGCAGGCCTCCTGGCGTGCAGATGATCCAGACTGCAGCAGCCTGTCGAGTCTTCAACCAAGCTGGAACAGCCGTTCATATAAACATCAAATTCAAAGCCCTATTGTTAACTTACGAAGAAGCAACAACGATGGATCCATCCACTCACAAGAATTATTTGTGAGATCATTTAAGTCACTCAATAAGGGGCAAAAATACTTACAGTTATAATACTCCTGACTCTCTTTGAAAGAAAAACCTCAATCCTCCTTGCTGCTGGTCAACTTGCTCTCATACAGACAGACTCTTCATGAAGTTAAGGTGCTTATATTAGACAAAGTTGAAGTTTTTCACAATTGAAAAAGTACCTGAAACTCTACAGGTTATATCACAGGCCACCTACATATACACCTACATTGTTCTCAAAACATTCAGGTATGTTCTCACAGAAAAGGTAGAAGTAGAAAATAGATCCTGTCTTGGAACAGTTTGCATTGAAATGCACAGATGTTTCGAGTCTACAGTGGTTCATCATCAGATTGGTCTATAGCAGTCCTTCTCCTATTTACAGCAAACCTGCCTTAATACAGGAGAGAGGGGGAGTGAGCCGAGGCGCTGGTGCAGGCCGTCTCTCCTGCATGTATTTGCTGTGTCACATGGAGTCACACTAAAATTATACAGGCTATTCTAAATATGTGCAGTATTTTCTGCATTTTGAGCGCCAGACTCGCAAAAATTGGATATCTTGCAACACCACAATTTGGATGAAAATCAAATAACGCTGAGATCTTGTTATTCAAGCCCAGTTTAACATACAGTTTAATAGACAAAGAGTTTATGTTTTCTTCTTTGTCACATCAAATCTGTTAGGACATGGACAAAAAACACATGAGGTTGTCATCTTCTCACTATGTTTTGTCTTTTAAGACTAAATGAGTTATAGATTAATCAAGAAAAATATTAAGTGATTATGAATAACAGCTTTTACATTTGTTGCTCCTTTGTTGCTGCTTTCTGCACACCATAAAGGCACACATGTCTTTTAGCTCATTGAAACACAGACCTAAGTTTGCATGGAAACATATAAGGTGCTTTAAAAAACTGCTTTTATGACGTAGTCGTTGGTTACTGTGATCAAACAATGCCTCCACCCTGGGGAACCAGGTTTAATGTGAAACCCAAGCTGTGCTATTGCTGTGTTATTGTTTTGACCTTCCACGTGGGGATTTTTTTTCCTTAACCTTGCAGTTCATCCACGTGTTACACGGGAAGGAAACCGCCTCCACTCGTGCGCCTCTGTGACATTGCAAACACACGGTTACCAGACACAAGTATGTGACAACCTGGCATGAGAAGGAGTTTAACAAAATTACAAAAGGACTCAGAGACAGGCTGGATGGAGACACTCTTTCTGCGCTTTGTTTAGCTTCCATCCAGAAAGGCTTGACCCTGGACTACTTGTGCTCTGCTGACGTGATAAAGTCTGACTCATAGTATTTTTTATTTTTTTACTTGGCACTTCACTAATATGAGAATTTTTGTTCCTTTTGTCACATTAGTTGGAGCATGATGTTTTTCTGCAGCCTGCTGATTATGCACATAAAAAGTTCATCTCCAATCAAAAATATATACTCTATAATAGGCCTGGACGATATAGAAAAAAAGCATATCGATAAAAAATAAATCATATTGATCGATATCGATAATTATCGATATAATTATTATAATTATTTAACATATATTTTAATTGCAGCCCTGGATGTTTTATGCTATTGCTTAATGACCTACTTTTAATAAAGAACACACAAGCACTGAATTCAAATTCAAACCTTTATTCAACCACCTTTTTTTTTTTTACCACAACTGAAAGTTTTTTTTAAAAAGAACTTAAAAAAAAATAAATCAACTTAAGTGGCCTGAGTGACGTCAGTAAATACTGACAAACATAAAGACTAAAGTGACCAGAAAATCTGATAAATAAATATTTAAATAGTCTTTTGATGAAAATAAACAAAACAAACAAATATATAAATAAACAGAATAGCTTTAGGTGGGAATAGCATACTACCAGTTTTAACTGTGTGGGAAACTGCCCACAGCCTGGTGTCTGAACACTGAAATATTTCTCCTGGGGTCGGGAGATTTATTTTTTTAATTATCATGTGATTGACTTATTAAACAAACTAAGCACGAGAAGCAGGACTTATCCACGCCGGTGTTGTGTCGTAGAATGCACCCCTGCCGAATGCCCCCCCTGCTAGTAGCCATGATCCAAATACTCGCGTCTTTGTAAAATATGAGCTCATTTTCTTCCACTTTAAGAAGCTACACCGGAGCGTATTTCCTCCGCACCATTCTCACCTTTTCAACCCCTGACCCATTTTCATGCCTGAAGCGCTGTGTTTGAGAAATACTTGCGGCCGGGCACTTCATATCGCGGGTCGAGAGTGGCTAGAAGCTGGTCGAAGCCAGGCTTTTCAACGGTAGTTATTGGCAGTATGTCCCTCGCTATGGAGCATGTTACTGCATGGGTGATGTCCTTATGCCGCTTGGACGCTTTGTCGTATTTTGGCAAGAAACGAAGTCCAGTTTGGTCTGCTTCACTTGCTTTGTGCTAGTGCTAACAGCGGTTCCAGAGGATTCCTCCGACGACGACGTGGAGCCGCGGCGCGGCCGACACAGCTCGTACTCCTGCGGGTGCGACCGGTTTAGATGGTAAAACAAGTTGGTTGTGTTACCGGACTTGGTTTTTACTAATTCTCTGCAAATTTTGCAAACGACCGCTGTTTGCTTTTTGTCAGACTTCTAAAAACCAAAACATTGCCATGTTGGTGAACTACTGAAACCTTTTTTCGGGACAATTTCCTCCGCTTCTCCTTGCTGTTACATTATTTCTAATACACGTGCTGTCTGTTGTGGTTTGATAGGGGCTGGGCTTGGTGCCGTAGCGTACCTGGGTCTGCGTTTGTGATTGGTTGGGAGGAAGTAATGACTGTAGTAAAAGCTACATGATAGGCTATGATGAAAAAGAAAGGGAAACTGTGTTTTTCTATCGAACTTTTTATCGACCCGTTTTTTTTCTATCGCTCCACACGTCTATCGATCGATATATATTGTTATCGAATTATCGTCCAGCACTACTCTATAATACTCTCTCATTGTTTGTGAGGCTGCTTTTTTTATTTCATTATCTATCATTTAATTTTATGAATTTTAAGACAAAGTAACAGATAAACACTGACATGCAGCTGAGTTTCCCCATCTGTGACAACAGTGTAGGGGCAGAAGCAGCTGTCTGTGGCTAAAACACATCAGTATAGAGGACTGCCATCGAGGAGGGACATACTGTACTATCTCACAACAAACTCAGTGAACTGCAAAACAAATCGGTTCACAGTGACTGATCATTTCATTAAGCACTGACATTTTGCAAGCACTGATACACATATTCCACTTTTTTTTTTTGGTTGGTACAGAGTAGAGGCGGATTACCAGAAGTGAAGCCAGTTTTTGGATCACAGATGCATCAGAGCAGTCTGTTCACAGAGCAGGCTGAGAGATGACAAATTTTAACCTATTTAGCGCCTCAGGTTTTCTCGTGATTTCAAACAAGCCCGCATTTGTGACCAAAAATATCAAGAGCTTCTATTTCTGTGCTGGTACATTATCACAACCACGACCAGAACCAGCCAGTGTCAGACCCATAGACTGTATATAAGATGGACGCCGTGGTTCCGCCTTCCGCCTGTATACGGATTTGAAGCCAAACGGCTCTCGGTAATTCCGGGTTTTTCTCCGCTTCCTTGAAACCAGAGCTGTGCAGTAGCGTTGTGCGCATTCGGCCGCGCAGTCGCCGAGAGTCCCTGTGATGACGCTCGGGTCAAACAGCGTATTCCCCCGGAAGAGCTTCGAAATCCCTGAACGCCCATAGGCTGTACCAGGTGTCAATCATAGAAAACGTGAACCCCCTAATAACTTTTAAAAACGGAGCTGTACAGAAAAAAGGGGACTTGAACACAAACCAGTCTGACAGTAACTGCATGTCAACATCACAACCAGGGGGGAGAAAAAATTATGTTCTGTGTAATAAATTTCTAAAGTTTGTCCACAGTCCCATAAGCTTTGCTGGCGGAGGCGGGATTTATGATCTGTACTGCAGCCCACCATCAGAGGGTGCTGTTCTCGGAGTGGCTTCACCCAGCGAGGAGGCAGGCTCTGTCCATCTTATATACAGTCTATGGTCAGACCACATGAATACAGACAAAACCACATTTGAATTAATAACAACTAAAAGGACAAATAAGATGCATAGAAATCCAGGAACACTTAAAGTCTAGATGGAGATCTGCAAGTGTACAACCACAACATACTGTGTATAACTGTAGCCACATCATTTCAGTGTCTTTTTTGTGCGTGACTAACTTGGGAACATTTTACATAGTAAACACGTACTATGAAACACAAAGCACTACATTTTGTGCATCAGTGTGCAGGAGAGAGGGGGAGTGAGCCCAGAGGCTGGTGCAGGCCATCTCTCCTGCATGTATTTGCTGTGTCATATGGAGTCACACTAAAAATATACAGGCTATTCTAAATATGTGCATGTTTTTCTGCATTATGAGCGCCAGACCTGCAGAAATTATCACAACCACGATCAAAATCAGCCAGTGTCAGAGCACAGGAATACAGACAAAACCACATTTGAGTTAATAACAACTAAAAAGGACAAATAAGATGCACAGAAATCCATGAACGCTCTGAGTCTAGATGGAAATCTGCAAGTGCACAACCACAACATACTGTGTACTACTGTAGCCACATCATTTCAGTGTCTTTTTTTTGGACATGACTAACTTAGAAACATTTTAAGTACTCAACATAAATCAGTATAAAACACAGTCAGTATGCATACTAAAGGCTCATATTTCTGCAAAGGTGGGTGGCACTTGACTCCAATTAACACCCAAAGAAAACAGTGAATAACACAATGTGGAAGCAGACAGAAGAGCAACTGTAAAAACCTTTAAAACAAGCAACAAGCACCAAACACTGAATGGTAAACGTATACAGATAAGAGGTTTAATTGGAGGTAATTAAGAGAAGTCATGAGACCAGCTGGACAACTGAACTGGCTTAAAAGTTCAGTGTAAAGGCAACATGAAAGACGACAAAATGGCGGTGACGGCGCACCTGTGTGGACCAAGACTCACAGCACAAACACACAAGAGCATAATGGTGAAAGCTCACCTTAAACCAGGTGAAAACATGGTGACGGCGCACCAGCACATTAACAGCAACAGCTTATTCATCCTACCTGTCTGCCTTTCACACGAACACAGGTGACCTTTTTGGCAAATAAACAATTAAAATAGTCTACTCACATTAACGTCTCGGCGTCCCAGGCCTTCTGAAGGGGAGAGACGAACAACAGGCGCTTCAAAATCCCGTTTATCGTGACCCGTTTTTGTGTTTCCATAGACTGTATATACTTTGGATAGCTTTGTTCCGCCTTCCGCCAGTATACGGATCTGAAGCCGAAAAGCTCTCGGTAATTCCGCGCTTTTCCTCCATTTCCTGAAACCGACATTGCGCAGTCGCGTTGTGCGTTTTCGGCGGGAGAGTCGCCGAGAGTAGCTGTGATGACGCTCGGCTCAAAAAGCGTATTCACCGGGTGAGGTATGCAATCCTTGTACGTCCATTGGCTGTATCAAGTGTCAATCATAGAAAACATGAACCCTCTGATAACTTTTAAAAATGGAACTGAAGAGCAAAAAGAGGACTTGGGAGAAAACCAGGGGGGGGAGACAACTTCATGGTTAAAAAAAATGGTGAAAGAAATTGATCATGTGACCAAATATTTAAACATAACATAATAAACATAAATGTCCACCATTTTAGTTTAGAGGACTAATAAAGTCATGATAGTAGTTCTGTGGTAAGTTGAACCAGTGGATCAACTGAGAAAGTAAAGGAGTCTGATGAGAGGATCAGAGTTTCACTTCAGATTGTTGAAATGTGTTACTTTTTCTTTTCAAAAATACAGCTTATTAATTAGAATTGTACCAGTTGAATAGTGTATAATAAATAAAAATACACATGAATGTGAAGAAGTGACTGTTATTCAGGGAGAGAGAAGGTGAAGGAGGCCTGGAGTGGAGAGTGGAGGGGATACGGCTCAATTTACCCCGCTCCTATGGTCAACTTACCCCATACACGGGGTAAGTTGACCATAGGAGACCACTTTTATTGGCATGCTATGTTATCAAGACAGTTATGTTAACACTCATTCTGTTGGTTTGCAGGGATGCACAACATCTTGAAATATATGCAGATACACTAGTTACAGACAAAACTATAACCGCCTTAATGTAGTGATCTGAAATATGAAAAATGGCTCATCTTACCCCACTCTCCCCTCACTACCTCCCTCATTAAATTTTTTTTGTTAATGATGTCTTCAGTAGCAGATAAAAACCTTTCCAACCAGTGCTGCCTTATCCTACTGTCCTCTAAGTTACAAGATAGGCCAATCTAAAGCATGCAATCTACAAATGAGTTGTCAAAGAAAACAACCAAAGGGAACGTTTTGAGAATTCATTCAGCTGTATAACCTTCACATAGTCTTGAATGGATTTATAACTTTGCAGAGACAGTTCTGTAAACTAAAACAATATAATATTTTTTTTTATGAATGCGGTTGTTCTTGAGAGGTTTCATACAAAGTTGCTTGTTTATTAGAAATTTCCAGGTCTGGTCCAAATCTAATGGGCTCCTCCTTTGCACAAACAAACTTCCACCAAGTGTCATGAAAATCAGGACAACAGTTTTCCTATAATCCTGCTGACAAAGAAGCAAATAAACAGAAAACAGAAAACATAACCCCCTAGGCGTGGTATGAGTGTAACATTGATAAGCACTTGAATGCATTAGACATGGACAATACTGAAAGCAGCAGCAGAAGTTGAGCTTGTTTGTGCAGTAAAATGCCTTCTGCATACTTGAACATGGCTCTGTTTGAAGCAATTATGAGTGTAAATATGAGCTTCAAATCCCAGTGTTGGCTGCTTTTAGCCCTGCAGCCTTTTTCCATTTTCAATGAGTGAAGAAAAGTTCAATTTATTTGCAAAGCTTTCTCCGTCAAACAAGTTTGTGACAAAGTGGTTTACAGAACAAAGCACACCATTACAGGTTAAAACAGGACACAAACACAGGGAATAAAAAGCAAACACAGAATTTAGCTCGGGCTTTTGTACACTGTTTCAAATGATCTGTTTTTTTCATTCCAGGCCCAGTACACTGTGATATCTAAAAGACACAGAGTTTTAAATATGCATAAATTCTGTTTTGGTACAGTAACTATTCTTAGCCCAAATATTTTCTCTGTGCCATGTCTCTTGAGTTTGACTCAAATGTAGGTCTCCAGGAAAGAGCTGGCTGGATTCCTTTGGTTGTTATTTTACATAACAATACTGTGAGCTATTACCAACCATCACAGGCATTGAAATATGACTAGGTTGGAAAAATCAAGGGTTTTTATATACATAAAAGCTTTTCATATATCTTTTAACCAAGTTTGAGAAGTCGGAAGTAAATATTTAAGGATTGTAGGGTTCACCGTTCAAAGGTTGCAGCATGTCAGAGTAATTGCACACTCAAAAAAAAACAGGAACAGTAAAGCACTCCCAAAAGTGGCGTGACATTGACTACCATCCAGCGCTCAGCAAGGGCATAGTTTCCTATTTTCTGTGAACATCTTGTGCATGTTGCTGTTGTATACCCTTATATGATTAACCAGGCAAACACTCTCTTTTGGCACCAGCATGCTGTTTATTCTGGCAATAATAGAGGAATATTAAGTCTCTCACAGCCACTCCCGTGGTAACAAGCTCCCAGCAGTTACTGATAAACTGATAAATCACACTTTTACCAGGAGAAAAAAAAAGCTCATATTATAAATGTTTTTTAGTGGAGTGCTATAGAAATCAGCCAACCACAGAGGCAGGATCAGAGACTGTGTATAGAACAGACAACGTGCATTAATTTCCACCCACTAAGAGATGTAAAGCCAAAATACAGTCTTTACGGTCGCTAATGTATACATCCAGCTGGTGGAGCCAAGGCAGCCTGGCTTGTAGAGGCATTGGACTGATGTCACTACCGTCCCGTTAACTAAAACACTCAATAAACTTACCAAAAAATCCTCAAGGTTGGTACAGTTTACAGCAGAACAGACTCTTCTGTTGGTTTAAAGCAGGTGCTTATGGCTACTTATTTGTCAAAAAAGCTGACAATCAATCATCTTATCAAAATAACCAAAAAATAATAAAAATTGAACAACTCAGAAAAATGAACACAGATATAAAACAATATGACAAGACCTAACTATACTGACAGAAAGCATCTTTGAGAAAAAATCACTTGATGTGTATTCTAATTTTCAAGTTTGACTCATGTTCCATCTGTTAAAATGGAAGGGAGAGTTTCAAGACCGGGGCCCAGCTCTAAAATTATACCGTCACACTGGATAACTGTTGTTATGTCCATTCCATACTGTGTCAATGGAAGCGATACAGCTGACGGACAACACTATACAGGGTACACCCCTTTGAATTTGCAGGGGCTCCAGCAGAGGGCGCTCATGTTGCATACATAAT